TTTGCCCTTCATTTGGTTTTAAATATGAGTCAATTGGCGCGTTCCATGGGGTGGATCAAAATTACGGTAAGTTTGTTTTAAAAGAATATTTTTTAGAAAGCGTTTTACGGCACTTGCAATACAATAAGGTCATACAAGTGCCGAAGAAGCTATGTGTTACGGAGTGTAACATACACAAACAGAAGGAGATAATAATATAAGGACGATAGATGTTTGATAGGAAAGAAGGAGCAAATCACACAAGAGCACCCGCCAACCACCCACGATTTTGATTGTGTGTTTGAGCAAAGAGAAAAACCTAGACACAATAATGGTCATTTAGTGCAGAGAAAAAGTGAGGCATACATATAGGAACAACAGAGGGGAAAGTGAATAAGTAAGACTTACCAGTGGCTCCCTCTAACCACACGCCGAATAAGACTTTTACTGTACTTGTACATGATTAGGTCATAAAAATCATATAGTCATAGTGGCGAAGATCATAGATGTACAAGAGAGTAATAAATACAAAAAAAGGAGGAGAAATAGTGACGATATGTTTGATAGGGAAGAATGAGCCAACCATACCAGAGTACACCCGCCAACCACCCACAAATTACGTCCCAGTGCACAAGTCTATGCCAAATAGGGTCGATGCACAGTGCAACGTTTCAGTTTTACTAAGCGTTTTACGGCATTTGCAACACAATAAGGTCATATAAGTGCAGAAGATCATAGATGTTAAAATTACAAGAGAGTAACAAACACAAAAAAGAGGAGAGATAATATATATGTATATATGTGTGTGTGTGTGTGTGTGTGTGTGTGTATGTATACTCGTATATATCTTTTTTTCCCCTTTTTTTTTCTTCTTCTTCTTCCTCGTTCTCGATGACAACAGCTAGACAGTCAGTCCGATGTCGCGCACAAACTGTGCAGTTCGCTTCAAGTCTGAGAGACTGCAATAGAGCTTTCTTTCAAGGGGAGTCACATTCTGCCACATCTTTGTACGAAGGGTGGCGTAGCGCGGGCAGTGCTGAAGGACATGGTTAGCATCCTCTTGGTCGTGTCCACATTCACAGACCGCTGACTCTCCCACTTTTAATTTGGAGTGCATAATAATATGGTGTTTGAGTCTGTTGTGGCCACAACGGAGTCTATTGATTGTGACCTGGTCTGCTCTATTTAGCAAGTAGTAGGGGTCACGTCTGTTGTGTTTAGGGTGGAACCTTTTTCATCTGTTTCTAAAGGCGGATTTTATTAGTGTATTTGACTCTGAGAGACCCATGCCATCTTCAATCTGGGTCACTTTGGCTCCTTCTTTGGGTAAGTCGTCTGCCTTTTCATTTCCATGAATGCCACAGTGACCTGGTATCCACTGCAGATTTGTGTTGGCTTGGGAGTTTAGATCACATAGGGGTGAAATAAAGGAGTTGTTGAACAGAGCTGTTTGTGGCTTTAGGAGAGCTTGTAGGACAGATTTGGCATCTGTGAGGATAACGGTGTTGGCTTTAGATTTTTAGTGATTCAAGAGAATGGTGGCTGCTGTTTCGAGTGCTGATGTTTCTGCTTTGTAATGGAAGATAAAGATCCCGTGGGGATGGAAAGGCTTTCTGTTGACCCATCTATCCCCTCTATGTAGAAACCTCCACCGCCGTTTCTGACTGCATCAGTTGCTGATCCATCTGTGTAAACTCGATTCCACCGGTAGCTTGGGAAGTTTCTGTCCAGGTAGTCGATATATATTATATATAATAATACTATTATGGCTCTTTTCGTCTATGCAGACGGTCAATTTAGCTTAAGATGGTTACAAGATAGTCTTCATGCAGCTTCTTTCATGGCTAATTCTTCCTATGTTTGAAGGGCAGATTCTGTCGCAGTGCTTGCATGCCAGTGTCATAGATCGAAGCTCTGTATTTCCGCTGTTTTCCTTTCGTCGTTGGCGCTTTTCAGCCTGGTTGTTTCTAAGGCTGTTCTTTAGCATTTATAGTTCTTTCCTTTATAATTTTCCTCCGTGTTTTCCTGTCCTCAGCTATTTCGTCCCAGATGTTAACATCTACTCCAAGCTTTGATAAGCTGTTTTTGCAGGTGTCTTTGTACCTCAATTTTGGTCTTCGTCTTTGTCTCTTTCCCTGGGCAAGTTCTCCATAGAGAAGTTGCTTCGGAATCCGGTTGTCATCAATTCTCTTGACATGGCCTAGCCACCTCAATCTTTTTAAACACAGGATAGTTGTCATGCTCTGGGGGTTTGCCCGTGCCAACACTTCAACATTTGTAACCTTGTCGCGCCACGAAATGCCTAAGATCTTGCGGCAGTATCTGAGAGG